GCGCGCATGCGTGGATGCCCATTATCACATTTTTTAAAATTCATTCACTAATGGACACTTAGGTTGCTTCTGTCTTCGCTATTTATTGTAAATAATGCTGTGATGAGCATGGAGGTGCATATATCTTTGAGGTAGTATTTTTGTTTCTTCATATAAATACTTAGAAGTGGAATTGCAGGATCATATGGAAGTTTTTGATTTTTTAAATTAAAAAGTTTTAAGAACATCCATATTTTTTTTTTCTTCATTGAGAACTCAGTATGTTTATGATTTTTATGGGAATATTAAGGCTGAGTTAAAGAACAAAATAGTATAGGGAAAGAACAAATGGTTATATTAAATGCCAGAATTAAAGGTACTACGGGGTAATACATGCTTTACACACGGAGGGGTGTTTAGTGGCATGGTAGTTCTTAATCGACTGATATTTCACATTGCACTCTGGGAGTATCTAGGTGTCAGATTTTATTGGGAAGAACTTGTGGAGGGGCGGGGCGAGGGGAGATCTGAAGCACAGAGCATAGCTGAGCAGCAGGCACAGAGAGAAGAGACCTTCTGCTGCACCACATGCGCTCTAGCTCCATGCCCCCTTGCGGGGGCTAACTCCCACGCTCCTTGCGGGTAGCTCCCTGGCCGGGGCTTGAACTCAGGCCGCAGCGTTGAGAGCGCTGAGACTAACCCCTAGGCCATCCTGGAGGCCCCGCCAGGGGCTTAGTTAAATGGAGCCTTTAACCTTTATTAGGAGGCTTCAGGAGAACTACTGACAGCTGCTTCTCCAGCAAGTCAGAAGAGACTACGGCTGCCCTGCCCTTCCCTCAGTGATCATCACTGTCTCCTCCTAGGGCCTGTGGGCGCTGAGGGAAGATGGCTTTCAGCTGCACCTCCATGTCTTCATCGGTGACAAGAGGGGGCGAAGTATGGGGATTTTTCAATTCTAAAACAAGTATTTTTCATTGATGAATCAGAAGAAAAACCTACACAGTTCAGAAAGTAATCAGGATTGTACTGATCCTGAAAGATTTCTTTGGTGATGATCGTGTGTAAAATCAATATTTAGAAGTTTCTAGAGATTTAAGTATGCAGACTTCTGATGTCCTCATAGAATAATGAATGCCCTTAGCGAGCTGAAGAGACTCAAAAAAACAAAGTAAATAATCCAGTCACAAAATGGGCAGAAGAGCCAAAAAGAAACTTCTCCAAAGAGGAAACGCAAATGGCCAACAGGCATATGAAAAAATGTTCAACATCACTTGCAATCAGGGAAATGCAAATCAAAACTACCATGAGATACCATCTCACACCAGTGAGAATGGCATGTATTTAAAAAACTAGCAACAACAAATGTTGGCGAGGATGTGGAGAAAAAGGAACTCTCCTGCACTGCTGGTGGGAGTGCAAACTGGTCCAACCACTGTGGAGAGCTGTGTGGAGATTCCCCGACCTGCTAAAGATAGAGCTTCCATATGATCCAGCGATTCCACTCCTAGGTGTTTACCCAAAGGACACAGAAACATCAATTCCAAAGAGCACCTGCACCCCTATGTTTATAGCAGCACTGTTTACAATAGCTAAGCTTTGGAAACAGCCCAAATGCCCAAAAATAGATGACTGGATCAAGAAGATGTGGTACATATACACCATGGAATATTACTCAGCATTCAAAAAAGATAAACTCATGCAATTTGCAGCAACATGGATGGCGCTGGAAGGGATCATGCTCAGCGAAATAAGCCAGAAAGAAGACGAAAAGCACTGGAACATCCATATTTTCGATAGCACCCATAGTACACAAGTGTTCCCTTTATTGCACATCTTTGCCAACACTTGTTATTTCTTGTCTTTTTGAAAATAACCATTCTAACAGGTGTGAGGTGTTAATTTCATTGTAATTTTGATTTGTATTTCCCTGATGGTTAGTAAAGTTGAACATCTTTTTATGTAACTGTTGACCATCTGTGTGTCTTTGAAAAAACATCTCTTTATATCTTCTGCCATTTTAAAAATATTTAAGTAGTTCTTCTTGCTAGTGAGTTGAGCTCTTTATGTATTTTAGGTATTAACCCTTATGAGATAATAAAATTGGCAAATAATTTCTCCTATTCTGTGGGCTGTCTTTTCATTTTGCTGATATCCTTTGCTGTGCAGCTTTTGAGTTTGTTGTAGTCCCACGTTTATTTTTGCTTTTTTACTTTTGTTTTTGGTGTCAAATTAAAAAAGTAATTGCCAAGACAGGTATCAAAGAGCTTACCACTTACATTTCCTCTAGGCGTTCTATGGTTTCAGGTGTTACATTCAAGTCTTTTAGTTGATTTTGGTTTTTATGTATGGTATAAACAGTCATCCAGTTTCATCCTTTGATATGTGGTTGTCCAATTTTTTAGCATCATTTGTTCAAGAGACAGTCCTATATCCATTTGTATATTCTCGCCTCCTTTGTTGTAAATTAATTGAGCATATATGCACAGGTTTATTTCTGAGTTCTCTGTACCATTAAGCTATTGTCAATTTTTATGCTAGTATTATTTCTTCTTTTGATTACTGTAGCTTTGTAATGTAGTTTGAAATGAGGAAGCATAGTGTTTTCTGCTTTCTCAAGATTATTTGGGATATTTTGTGATTTGATACAAATTTTAGGGTTGTGTATTTTATTTCTGTGAAAAATCCAATGGCCAATCAGAAATAAAACACACAACCCTAAAATTTGTATCAAATCACAAAATATCCCAAATAATCTTGAGAAAGCAGAAAACACTAATCTTGAGAAAGCAGAAAACGTAATGCCAGGGATTGCATTACAATCTGTAGATCGCTTTGGCTAGTATGAACATTATAATACTATTAATTATTTTAATCCATGAGCATAATATCTTGTAATTTATTTGTTCTCTTCAATTTCTTTCCAAGTCACCTAGTTTTCATTGTCATTCACCTCTTTGGTTAAATTTATATTTTGATCTTTTATTCTTTTTGATGCAATTATAAATGAAATAATTTTCTGATAGTTTTTCTTTAGTATATAGAAACACAAATGATATTTGTATATTGTTTTTGTGTCCTGCAATTTCATTGAATTCATTTATTTCTGATTGTTTTGTGGTGGCATCTTTGGGGTTTTCTGTGTATAATAATATGTTTTTTTCTAATTTGGGTGCTTTTTATTTTACTTCCCTAATTGCTTTAGCTAGGATTATTGTACTACGTTGAATACAAGTGGTGAGAGCGGGCATCCTTGCCTTGTTCTTGGATTTTAGAGGAACAGTTTGATATTTTCACCACTGAAGTGTGATTTTAGCTGTGGGCTTGTCATATATGGTGTTGAGGTAATTTTCTCTGTGGCCACCTGGCTGTGTTTTAGCGTACGTGGCTGTGTATTGTGCCAGATGTTTTTTCTTTAGCTATTGATATGATCATGTGTTTCTTCATTTTGTTAATGGATTTTATAACAATGATTTGTAGATGCTGAACCATCTTTGCACTTCTGGGTAAATCCCAGTTGGTCATGAGTTATAATTGATCCTTTTAATATATTGTTGAATTTGATTTGTAAATATTTGTTGAGGATTTTTGCATCTGTATTCATCATCGACACTGATTCGTAATTTTCTTTGTTGTAGTGTACTTGTCTGGTTGTGTTTTCATGGTAAGCTGGCCTTAGGAGAGAAGTGTTTGGAAGGAGTCTCTCCTTTTCTATTTTTTGGAAGAGTTTGCAAAGGATGGTACTAATTTCTTTTTGAATGTTTGTTGACCAATGAAGCTGTCTGGTCCTGGACTTTTGTGAGGAGATTTTTTTAGATACTGGTGATCTGGAGTGAGGCAGAGGGAATGTATGAAGATACATTCAGTTCTCTGGAGAAGATTGTGGTCAGCTCATTGATGTGTGTAATTAGAAGTCTGTCCCAGGCCGCAGGTATGAAGACTGGATGTTTCTTCTGTGCCCCTGGGCAGTAAAGAGTTAAGAACTATTTTTCCATTATAATCCTGTTGGACTTGTAAGCTCCACTGGCCATAGTTGACCATCAAAGGGTGTCTCTGGATATGAGCTGCAAAAATCAGGGCCCCTAGTGTGTGCACAACCTCCAATTCTGGAGTGAGGCAGAGGAAGAATGCAAAGATGGTGCCCACTAGCGCTGCTTCTGGAAAGTATTTCAAAATTCCCTAGATGTGTGTTAAGTTAGATGCCTCCCCCTCAGGCTGAAACTTTGGAGATAAATAGGCTTCCTTTACAGAAAGATGGCACTTATCATTTGGCTGCCTATACAGGGTACCCTGGACTAAGTCCCTGTGATCTCTTTTAAGAATGGTTTTTCAGTTTTTTCACTGTAGCCTTCTGGGTCTTGTAGATGCAAGCCCCATCGGCTTTCAAAAAGAGATGTTTTAGGAGCTCATATCAGTTGTAGATCTTAAGAATTGGGGTGCCCAACAAGGGATTCAACACTTCACTCCTCAGGAAGCAGCTCAGGGTTCTAAGTTCCCTCCTGATTGCGAATGATGGTGCTTGGGTAGGGTTTTTGGCAAGATTGTCTCCTATATGTTCTGGTGTGGGTTTTTTCCTAGTTCGTCCAATGTGTAGGAGTAGCTCACCTTTTTTGAGCGTATCTTTCAGGAAACTGGTCTATATGTAGTTGTTGATTCAATGTGTGCTTGGAGGTGTGTTCAGGATCCTCCTACGCAGCCATTTTGAAGTGGAACCCTGTATATATTAATAATCTAAGATAGAACATGGTCACAAAATACTTTCCCCATGGGGTATCACAAGAACCAATATTTTATTTTTATTATTTTTTAAAGATTTATTTTTATTTATACAAGCACTGGGTACAGTCAGAAGCGCGGGAGGGTGAGAGAATTCACCAGAGCCAGAGCGGGGAGCAGAGCAGGCAGAAGGACTGAAGTACACTGCTGAGGGGAGCAGCAGGCGGCAGGAGAGGTCTGCGGGCCATGTGGGACCCTCCTCCAGTGGCCGGGGAGCAGCCGGGGATCGAACCGGCGCTGCAGAGGCTGTGGGCAGCTTCGCAACCCAGCGTTCAACCGCTGCGCCACTGGGGAGGCCCAAGAACCAATATTTTAAAAAATAACATAAATACAAGTTTCTGATGTGGTAAGCTGAACTAAGCTGGCTCCCAGAATTACCACTTCCTGGTATACACACACTTTCTGTCATCCAATCAAAAAAAAAATCTCAGTGCTGCTTTCAAGGGATCTGTATATGTTATTAAGTCCCAAATCATGTATTTTGAGAGATTATCTGGGTAGCTGACCTAATCAGGTAATCCTTTAAAAGAGAGTTAGCTCTTGTTGGCAAGAGATTCATAGTGAGGAAATTGTCAGGTGGGAGAATTTCATGGCTGGTTCTGAAGATAGGGGGTTGGGTATGGAGCCCAGATAGCAAGGAATGCAGGTGACTTTTAGGAATTCAGAGCTGCCCTCACCTGACTAAAGACATTTGTCCTATAACTGCAAGGAACTGAGTTCTGACACAAGTACTTGAGCTTGGAAAAGCATTCCACGCTTCCTATGAGGATGCAGTACAGTAGACATACCGATTTTAGCATTCTAAGGCTGTGCAGAGAACCCAGCCATACCGCTCCTAACCTTCTGAGACCTAACCTCTGAACTAGTGAAGTGTTTTAAGCCTTTAAGTTTGTACTCATTAAAGCAACAATAGACAACTCAAACAATTGATATTTTGCTTCATAAAATTGCAACTGTTATTTGTTAAATATTTATTGATGTTAGATCCACATTACACCAGCACAACAATCCAAAGTAGTAATATTTTTTTTATAAATACAACATGGAAGGTGGCAAAATAATGCTATTTAATCCCAAACCCAGCAAGTGAGCAAAAAGTCACATTCAGAAAAATTTGGCAAGTAAGATATGACGTAAGTCATAATTCTACAGTATAGATAGGTTCACGAGACTTTGCCTGCTATCTCACATTCTGTATTAAATGCACGGAAGTGTGGTAAAAGAAACCTGTACCACCCTGCATAGAACAGCTGCCACCCGGTGCGCAAGCCTATTCATTATTTAAAACTTGGTTGGTGTTCTGACAAAGAAGTAGAAAGCTGTACATGTGAAGCAGTAATAGGAAATATATAGAGTGGTACACAGATATAAAATCATTTAAAAATACTACGTATTGAATTGAATAACTGAGCTAAGAGTTCAATATTTTTATTATAAATAATGAAAGATATATGTGTTTTGCATAAGATAACTGTTTTCATAGCAAAGTACCATTAAAGCCTCATGTTTTATAATATTAGGCCAAATTTTTTCCTTTTAAAAATTATTGGTTCCGACTTAAAACCATCAAGTCTGGTCAGAATCAACTTAATCTAGCTGATGCAGAATCATATGCATTTAAAAACCAGTCTTTTGCTGATGCCTTTACAAATTACTTGGCACCCAAAGCCCCGTAAGGCAAGGTTTCATGATGGCAGGGAAGTGAACTAGTATTTTCCATTGACTTTATCTTGGTGTCATTGAAAAAAAAAATACATTATGGCACAAACCTGTTTTTGTTTCTCCTAAGTCTCCACTTCTCTTAACTAAATTAGATCCTATCAGGCGATTTCCCATTTATGCCAGTCTTGTAGTCTCAGTCCATTTTCAACTTGCTCTGCACATCTAAAATCTTCAACTAATACACAAACCTCAGACACACTGAAATTTCCATAGCACATACGCTCCAAACTTCCAGCTGACTCTACTTTCCCTGACTTTTGAATGGCAGTGTTTTTCACCGACATTTAGGTTAATTTTGAAGAAAACCAAAGATAAAGCTTGGACTTTACATTTCTCCTGTTCTTTCTGCTTCTGTCTAAATGAGTACAATACAAGTGTGCTGGCAGCATTTCCCTTCATTCTCTTCTCCCTCCAATCCACTGGTTCCTCCAAATACTATGCCTTGGTCATTTGGGTGGTCTGGATGCCTTTCCTGGAATGGACTATAATATATTTCTGCTTTATTCAGAATACTTTATATTACTCATACTTAAATTAGCCTTTCAATACGGTCTGTAAATAAGCTTCCTACCAAGGTAGCAAGAAAAAAATACTACACATTAAAAAAGTTTAAGAACTAAGATATTAACCTTGTTAGACAACTCAATATTCCTAAAATTTAAGGCAAGTAATTATTTTTTATGACTTAATATAAAACAATTTGCAAAGACAAGGCATTTCCTTGGATTTCTTTGTCATTTCTTCTTCTTATCCTTACATATTGCACTTGGTTCACTATACTTATCTGAATTCTCTACCACTTTAGAATCATCTTAGTATTATTTGTGGTACAGTTGCCTCTCATCACGCATTTCACACTGTCACAGTACGTAGCACCTATAGCTAGTGTTTAAAGGCATTTATGATAATACAAATTGTAGTTACCTTGAACAATTGATTTCCTTTAGTGTTTTGGCATTTCAGACCTTGAATCACAGCAATTCCAAAAGTTTTAAATTAGATGATAAATGTGAATTTTCTGTGCAATGTGTATATTTCTATTAGCATCGCCTACTTAAAATTGTTATATCAAGTAAGAAAAGTATTATTTTGGTGGTTTTTTATTTTTTATAATCAAAAGTATGTTTTTACCTTTTACATAATATAACAAAGGAATATATTGGTCAAGGCAATGGCTGTATTCAGTGTTTCAGCTTTTCACAAGAATGTTGGATTACAGGTCCTCGCTTTCTACCAAGCCGGTATTCAATGTCAAGTGAGATGGGTTGGCTTCAGGTTGAAACGCTGCTTTGATGTCTAGTCCCTGGTCTGAAAGTGCAGCATAGCGACTGGCTGAAGGCCGAACTTTTTTTGGCTTGGTGCTTTGTGGCTGCTGATGCCACTGGGCTACAAAAACAAAAAACAAAATTTTTTTTTTTTAAATCAAGATATAAGTGGAAAGCTCTTATATGTTTCAAGTAAATATAGAATGTCTTTTGATATAAACTGGGTACATATTCTTTGTGAGACTGAACACATTGATGGTAGCAATCCTAAAAAATCATTTTGCATTTACTCATGCTAACAGCTAGAGAACCAAGACATAGTTTATAGCAAATACTTACTTAGTGAAGCACAGGAATCATTTGAAATAGTTGCTAAATTTCCTAATTCGTACCTCCCCTTCTTAAAAAATTCTTTAAAGCTCAAAATGTATAAATCCCACAATAATTATAGTAGCTAGATAATGCAGGATGGATGGTTTTAACACCATTAGTTTAATGGAATTGGGCAGTAGGGAAGGTTGATGCCACTCACTTCCTGAAGCAGAACCTTACAATGAATTCCTTATTCAAGAAGTAAAAATTGAAATCAGTTAATTTTTTTCTAGTTTTCTTTATGTCAATAGTTCACGGGATTGTACTAGTTTATAAATTGGAATGATTTTCTTCAAATTTATGATGCATGTACACAAATATATATACACAAACACAAACGTATTGCTGAGCTGCTTAAGATAATATTAACAAGACAAGCACTAAGCCACAAAAGTAAGCATTCCAGGATCAGTGTGGTACGCACATTTAGAGGACATTAAGACTCTGATAGGGAGAAATGTTAAAAGGCAGTCATTTGCAGAACACAGAAACAAGAAAATGTGAAGAATGTGGTTATGCCTTTTTGCCTACTGTTAACTCCTAAGGATGCTTAAGTAAGGAAGCCACCACTGACTAGCCAACATGCATATTCTACTAGTAATGCAGAGTTTCTGAATAGATACTTGGGTATTTGTTCTCCTCGTGTAGTTCACTATTAATGATGAGAAACTATAAATAAAAAGAGAAAAAGCAATATGAATTTTTTGGCAAGTAAAACTATAGTTGTTTATAAGGCTACATGAAAGTAACATGTGATTTGCTGCCCAGATGTCTGATTTTTCATAATTTTAATGAATGTGATATGAAGTGGCACTCACTATAAACGTCCAGCCTGGCAGTACAGGACACAATCCCCGCTTCATTCTTGGCTGACACTGTATACCACCCTGCGTCGTCTTTTGTGGCTCCTTGAATGAGCAGGCAGATGTAGCCATAATTATCCTGGTGCATGCTGGAGAAAGGATAAAGTCATTAGGGCTCTAAATTTTTAAAAAGTGGCTTTGGACACGAAGCATCATTTTTAATTAGATCATTAGAAACAGAATTGTGCAAGTAGCAGATAATAGGGTCATACTTATTCTGGAGAGGCTGCAAGCTCCATTAAAGTTAATGGGAGAGAAGAGCAGACGTCAAGAGGTTGAATAAATCTGTGCACTTGATTTCTAGTTGAGGATCTGCTTTTACAAAAACCACAGAATAGTTTCTCTGTCATCACTGAAGCAAATGTGAATCCATCTTTTCTTTTAAAGGTATAAACACACACACAAAAATCACATTTAATCATAACTAAAGGGAAAGAGTGATTTTTGCCTTTGATCTCATCGAACAGCATGACCCTTACATTTTATATAGCATGTAAAAGTGTATCTTTTTAAACCTCTGAGGACGGAGCAGTTAGGGATTAGATTATGTCATTGTATATTCTTACCTCACTCGGTCAGTGTTGTGAGTGAGTGACTCATTTTCTTTCTTCCAGAAGATCTGTGGTGGTGGCACTCCTGAAACACGGCATTCCAGTCGCACTGGGTACCCATCAGCAACGCCTGTGTTTTGTAGTTTCTCCAGAAACACAGGTGGTTTGTGTGCTTCTTTAGCTAAGAAAACGAGATGAATTACCTATCAGTGAAACACAAAAGGAGCACTACAAAGAACACAGAAGTGTTTCGAAGTATTGCTTAAATAGATCCTTCATTTTATGGTGCCATTTTTCACTTCAGGTGGGAAGCGGCTAGTCCTCCCCAAATTATTCTTTTATCAAGAAGAGTTCCTTTGCTTTATTCTACTCATTTATCGCCTCAATTAATTTAAGCCCGACAAGCCCACACAGTGCACTGGCCATCTGCTCCACAGAATGCCTGTCTGACAGCCTGTGTGAGACTCGTAAGTCAATGCTGGCCTCTGGGATGGCTGTACTAATTATAATTCTGCTCCAAGTGCTCACAACTTTTACCAACCACTGCCACCTAGTGACTCTGAAGGGTAAAAATGTTTCTAGGAATTGTATGCACTTAAGAGTCTCTCCGAAATGTTTGCTAGGAAGATTCTGAAGATTGAAAATCTTGGCTTAAGTGACACATACCATATGATCTAAAGGGGGGAATGGAATCTAGAAGTTTTATAAACTAGGAAAGTACAGTCTATGCATTACAAATTTTAATTAGTCTTTGAAGGATGCTATAAAAAATACAACTTGGTTTAAAAGTATCAGAATTGTTAATTGCACTGGTTATTATCTAATGGGAAATTGTTTCTCTTGGATTTGGGGTGGAAACAACTGTAGTTATCTTTGGTTCTACCAGCTATGAATCTGAGGATGCGTGTCTTCCCTGCCCCCGAGTGTGTGGCAGATACATAAAAGCTAAGTAGTCAGGGAGAACCAGGTGAAGTTAAAAATTTTGTCTGAAATTTTCAAATATCTATAACCATCTACATAATTCAAGGTCTGAGAGTTATATTTTTATTGAACTTTTTACATGGTTATCTGACTTAGGCTATTTGGGGGAACAGAGCCTCTCTTTGTATTCTTTTTTTTTTAATGCATCATTTTTTTAATTTAAATTTTATTTTTATATTCCCCATACAATTACAACCCCCTTATTTTGACCCCAAGTATATGAAGTGATTTTTGCAAATCTGAGAAATAATCATGTTTTAAAGGAGATTGTCAGAATTTTTACTTACGCCTACCTCCTAAGAAGGGTAGACACATTTCTATGTCTGTGTTTTCTTTATCTAAGGGTGAAACTTCACATTATAATATTTTTATGAAACTTACCTAATTAAAGAAAATCTGAGTTTAATCGACTACTAGGCATAGATTGTTTAAATCTGCTGTAATTTCAAAATTTAAGATTCTAAAGAGTAGGTATATATGTAGAACTTTATGCATAAGCTCATTGTTACACATCAAGTTTGGTTCTTGGAGCCCATGCAGCTGCTGTTCTTTCCTGTGAAACACTGGGACCATCACACATATGAGAAGTATAAAGACCCAGAAAAGTGACTAAAATCCTTTTTTCTCTTGGTCAGGCTTGTAGGGAAAATGAACAAAAAGTAGCAATGGCTACCCTGAAGAAAAATTAGTTTCTAATGCACTCATAAGCCTTTTAACAAGTCCAAATAGGCTATTTTGATGGTACAATCTATTTTTCAGCAGTTAGACATATTTTCCATATGGGTCAATAATGCAGGATTAGTTTACATTCTTAACACAGATGAGCCTACCAGCAACCACGAGTTCTAGGCTGAAGGAGTTCTGTCCTGCCCGGTTGGTGGCTGTACACGTGTAGATGCCAGCATCTCGTGAGCTGACGGGCTCGATGATCAGAGAGTGTACCCCATTCTCACGCACCAGCATCTTGTGAGCACTGTCAGGCCGAATTGGCTTTCCATCCAGTTGCCAGCTTAGATCTGGGGTGGGTAACCCACTGACCTAAACCAGAAAGGAAATGATACAAATTTAATACAAATACAGAATGAAATTGTTCATAGCTAAGAAACCACATTAAATTCTTCCTCTGAAAGGATGACTTTTAGTATCAACTTATGTTACCTTTTTGCTTAGTACCTTTCAGTGACTTTCTGAACACCTTATATGTTTACTTCTATACATTTTTATACAGGGCAATGTAGGAAAAAGTGAAATAGGGATTAGAAGAATTTCTGTCATTGCCTTACCTCACTCAAGATTATAAAAACTACTGAGATGAATTCAGTACAGGGCTCTGAGCTTGTTGGAAAAAAGATGTCCAACCATAACAACAATAACAAGTACTCAGCTGGGACTGACGCACTGAAGCTGCTCATCAAAGAGTTGCCTTAGCTATGGAGACATGAGTTAATGCATCCATCAGCACACAGGGCTATTATTTTATAACCCTTGAAACTAAGTAACAAGAATACAAAATTACCCAGAAAGCCATCTGAACAAATTAGCATCACAATGGGAACATCATATAAGTCTTGAGCCCATGACAGTTTTGTTGACCAGAGATCAGATAAAAGCACATTTAATTGCTAATAACATGTTGTGCTGTGAAGGGTGGGGATGGTTACCATCTGTCAGCTCTTTACAGTTTTGCCCTTGATTTTGAATGGGGAGTAAAGTGCCATTTTAGAAAGGCCTTTTTACCCCCACTCCAAATTTATTAATGGGAAATTATATACAAAAAGAATGTCAGCTGCACAAAAACAATTCTTTTGAAGAACCAGCTCTACCAAAATCAGCTGGAGACCTGACAAATTCCATTCCTGCTGTGTGATATTTGTGGTGCTTAGAAGGTGCCATGCAGCAAAGGTCTAGTGAATATAAATGAAAAAAATTAAATGACTGGTTAAAAGGATAAAGAGCATTTGTACACAAACAGCCATAGCCGGGCAGCTTGACTTCTGAGAAGGTTCCATGTGCTCCCGTCTGTCTCTGTTATCCCTCAGCTCTTATAAGAGGTAGGGGACACTGGTCAGTCTCCAGGCCTTTCTCAAGGTTAGTAAATAGAGTCGCACTACTTGTTCCAAATTTACTAGCTTAGATCCCAGACATGCAGGGCCAGGCAATATTCAATAGGAGAGCTGTCCAAAGCACCGTGTATGCTTAACCCCTTAAATAGCAGTGGGCCTGTGCAGTTATTTATGTTAAGGTGAAGGAAAAAAACCCTAGCATTCCTGTTTGCTTAAGAAAGCCTGATCTCAGGAATTGATTATTTTAAGCAGGTGATAATTTTAACAGACTGTGATTTTAGTGGGCTGGGAAGGGAGGAGGGCAGGAGGAGACAGTGTACTAGAGCCGGAGTAGCACCAAGTCAAGGGTAGCCTATGTCTAGGAGTGTACCTCAGAATTAAATTTGGGGTGGGGGCTACTTTGGTAGTGAAAACCTTGCTGTTACTATGGCCATGGCTTCTCATGATTCTTGTTCCTTTTAAAGCTTATAGTGCCTCCCTTCCACCTCCCCCAAGCTGATAACCTTCACTTGTTCATGTGACAAGATTTTCTACATGTTACTTATCCAGGTCACATCATATTACTGTGAAATCAAAAAGCAGGGATTACTTTTTGTTTCTAGTATTTTTTAAAAAGTTAAATACAAAAGTATTTTTACTTTGGTTATGTTGCTGTTCAGTGAAATAATGATTTCTTAAATATAATCAGAATTAGAGCTGATAATATGGTGACTCCCCATTATATGGTCATGTAGAATCATTCCTTTCTGTGATTTTTTAGTAGCTCTCAGATTTCATATGGTTTTATATGATTTTAAAGTACATTTTATAGACAAACTATTTCTTCTTACACAAAAAAATTAATCCTTTGGTATCTTCTAATTATCCATCTAAAATGAAATTTCCTGCTCTTGAATCAGATGTCATTTTACAGATGGTCTATATCACTAATTATAGGCTAAAAATACATACACTGAAAATTTATATTGTAAAAATAAGAATGCTGGATTAGGTAAGATTTTTTTATACATTTCTACAAGTCCAGATGGACATTTTGAAAAAACATAATGCTCAGATCTTTGTGTTTTGCAATCCCAGAGAGAACCAGCAGAGGGCGCCCGCACAATTATTAAAGACCTTACTAATTTAAGAGCTAAATTTTAAATCATTAGAAAATTTCTAAGCAGTGGATCTTAAACATTTTTTGGCCTTAAGTTCCTTAGAGAAATTGCTGAAAGCTAGATCACACACAATTCTGTGAAAATTCTGAGTTCACATATCTATTTAAACCTTCTACCCAAGGACCAAGGCTTAAGCAATCTTGCTATAAAGCTGGTGCATTAAGGTTGACAGTCCACCTTCTCTTAGAAAATGGGAGAAATAAGAGTCACGAGTGGATACATGCACACAAAAGTGGTATAAAAAGGAATGAAGATCAACTAAGTGATGATTAGGATATTTGATATTTAGCACATTTACTATTTCAGCAAACTGGAAAACTTAAAACTGCTCAGTGACTTTCTGGAGTGTGGTATAGAGTTAAATCCAGTATATTTCATGCATCTTTCTCCTAAGCTGAAGACATTTAAAGATACAGACTTTACATAAGTTCCCCAAAATAACTAAAGAAAAATGATTGATGAGGGGAAAAGGGAAGCAAAAGATGTGCAGGAAAAGAGCAAACTCTTACTTTGCAGTCCATTCTGCAGAGTTTTCCTTCTTGAACAGTCAGATCTCCAGGAGCCTGCAAGAAGTGAGGTCTGAAGAATCGCTCCTGGATTGGTTCATTTTCATCTGTACTGTCCCTTGATCTGGAACGAGGTCTTAAAACAAGATAATAATGATTTCTAGTAGTTATTTTTAAGGCTTTTAGTCATCTTTTTAAAAATAATGAGATAAAAATAATTTTTTTATCTGCTTCCTACCCCAAGATTTATACATTAAAAAAACTCAGAAGGGCAAATCTTTTTTCATTTGGAGTTTTATTATAAATTTAACAGTATGCTAACTGCAGATCCTACATAAATCTGCTGTTCTAATACTTAAAGCTAGCATATACCATCAAAGGGAAAAATGGGAAGAAAACGAGGGACTCTATACTAACTTATTTTTTCCTAAATATTTTCAAAGCTATATGAGAAGCAGCTGTAGCTCATTTATTGCCAAATCTTTTCCAACAGACTTTTTTAATAGAAATTACTGTAGCTTTCCACACTGATTTTAAATTTGTAGAAAATGCAAAGTTCTTATTATTTTGTAAAATTTAGTATCTTTCATCAAAATCCCTTTTTATGTTAACCAGGAAAATAAATGACATTTTTAAGGTAGGCTTTCTATTGCATCATTTATCCCTGTACCTAAAGACATTATTTCTTGCTTTATAATAAAATTGTGCAAAACTGCTAGGTTTTGTGCATCTCTGTTGCTTTTAAATATGCTACTAGAGGCGCCTTTAAGAGAAATACAATTTAAAGTAACCTCAGAGAAGATTGTCAGCAGTCACTATACAAGTTTAAAAACACACAACTATATATTGTGTTCATAGCATAGATCCAGACCTGGGCTCCTGTGTATAGATCGGCACTGTAAACAAACTGGAATTCTACCTGCATGTGCTCAGGTGCTAGGATTGTTGGTGAACAAAGGGCTCTGTGGATCCAGTCGCATGAGGAGGTGTAGACACACTGCTTGTTAGGCACTTACATGTTTTTACCTGCCTATATCCTGTGAACTTAGTATGCGTGCTCTTCACTAAAGGTGCTGCAGAGGCGTTTGCACCTGCTGTTTTTAGTCAGGGCTATTGAAGCACGCTCTGTAAAATATCTAAATAGGAACCTTCAAATGACAGGCTGGTTGATTTGCTGTATTCTTTAAGTTCAAATGTGTTACTAAGAAGTAATATCCTTTGCTGTCCACCATTATTCAGTCAGCATCCTTGCATAAACACAGGGCTACTAAGAATGGAAAAGCACTGTTTATTAGCAGATTTTTGTTGCGCCTTTAAAATAACAAATCTTGCCTACAAGATATATCATCTAAATGAACTGTTTTGAACTAAGTGACTGCAAATTGAACATGAGCACACTAAATGATTTTTAAGAAATCTAGTAGCAGTAGTTTACAATGGTCAGTCCACACACCTGTTAGTTACAGAAGTTTGGTTTGAAACACTGGGTTACCAAGGATGAGTATATCCTTATGTGCCTGCCCCTGAATGTGCTCAGTCTTTATATTTTTCACACAGAAATTGGGCCCTATTTAACAAATTAGTGGTGGTATCTCTGGATGGCCTTAGCACACATTACCAAATGGCATTCCCTTCCCTTTTCTTAACTGCAGAGAAACCTTACATCATACACACTTTAAGAGAGTGTTCACATTCTGCCTTCTGATAATTTTCACTTTCATAGTCATACTATGATTCTAAGACTGTTGAATCTATCCTAATAAAATAACACCTACGGGAAGGAGCATCTGAAATACCTTCTGACATGAGGATGGCCTGAAGGAGAGCGGGGACTGCGACCTCTTTGGTTGACAGCCTGTACCATTAGACGTCCAGTACAACTGATGCGGCCCTGTCAGAGACATTAAGAAAATAAATTATTTGCTATGCAAAACAATTAGCCATTAAGCACTATCATGCCTATTGTCCCGTTGTCCATAAGACATTATTTCATTTCGTTACGTGCCAAAAAGTAATGACAACAACTCCTCTCAGGAATGTATTTTCCCTGGGATAAACTCTGAAGAAATCAAGTGCCAGGGTCTTTCTTTGAACTGTTACATATGCTCTTTACTGTTTCATTGTGAATGGTATTTAAAACAACAACCCTTATCTACTAACTAAGGTCCCTCTAACACAACAGGCTGAGTTGTAAAATATAGCTGGAGGATATCAATGTTCTGTGATTAAATCATGAATTCTATTTTCATGGTCAAATTCTAACTGAATGATTTTAGTAATGTATTTAACGAATGTTAATGGTATACCTTCCAAAAAGATGGTATCATGCTAAAAGTATTATGTAAGAAGTATGTAGGGGTGACAATAGGAACACATGGTCTGAAGAACAGGAAATGAACATGTTTGAGATTTAAAAACCAGAGCCAGTTAAAAAACCTAATATAAATGGGTCATATGATGAAGGCCTATGTAATGAAAAGCTGTATTGTAACAGAAGTAATAGACAATGCAGATGGCATGGGGAAGTCACCCATTGTTATTCTGGCTTTTTATATTAGCCTGTTAATTTTTTCATCGTTGTTATTAGCAGAGTAGCAAAATAGGTGATTTCTTCTCTACCTTCTCATTTCCCAGGAGAATGTGTAGCTGTTTAAATACTGCCATACATTGGAAATACTGCCTAAAAAAACCTAATGTATACACCTTGAAAAATATTGCTGAAAATGCTAACCATGTTCTGAGCCCATAGCAAGTTGTAATCTTTGTTAGTGGAGGCTCTTGCTTCCCTGTTGATGGCAGCTGACTGACCAGGGTGATGGTTGCTAAATGTTGGGCTGGTTGTGACAATTTCTTAAACTAGGTAACAATGAAGTTTGCTACACTGATTCTTCAGAAAAGACTTCTCTGTAGCAAGTTAATGGTATACCATCCAAAAAGATGGTGATGCTTTTTGACCGCACAGAACTTCCTTTAAACTACCATTTTCTCAATTAAGTTTATGTAATACTCTAAATACTCTGTAGTCATTTCAACAATGTTTACGACATCTTTACCAGGAATAGGTTTCATCTCAAGAAACTACTTTCCTTTGGTTCAGATTTAATCATGAGATTGCAACAGTTTGTCTACAGACAGATCACCCTGATGGTGCCCAATCAGGTCTGACTTCCAAAGCTTAGCAGGTTAGTACTTGGGAGATAGCAACAATTCAACCACATCTTCAGTTGCTCCCTCTAAAGTCATCCATGATGGTTGGCGTCAACTTCTTCAAAACTCCTGGTAATGTAGGTATTTTGATCTCCCCCCATGATTCACAAATGTTCTTAATGGCATATTGAATGGTGAATCCCTTTCCAAAAGGTTTCAGTTGATTTTGCCCAGACCCATCAGAGGAATCACTATTTATGGAAGCTATAGCTTTATGAAATATATTTCTTAAATAATAAGATGTGAAAATAGAAAGCACTCTTTGATCACATGGGCTACAAAATGGATGCTGCGTTAGCAGGCATGAAAACAAAATGGATCTCCTTGTACATCTCCATCTGAGCTCTTGGGTGATCAGGTGCCCTTTCAGTGAGCAGAAGGGTCTCAACAGTGGCCCAAAATAGCCAGTAAGCCATGTTGTAACAGATATGCTGTCATTCAGGCTTTGTGGTTCCATTCTTACAGAGAAGGCACAGTAGATTTCTGTAACTCTTAAGGGCCCTAAGATTGTCAGAATGGTGAATGAGCATTGGATTCAACTTAAAGAGAGTCAACCTGTTCTTTAAAGTTTAAAGTTGGCACTGACTTCACCCCTTTACCTATCAAAGTCCTATATGGCATCTTTTTCCAAGAGAAGGCTGCTTTATCTATATTGAATATTGTTTAATTTAGCCACTTTCATCCATGATTTTAATCAGATATGGATTGCTTGCTATAGTTTTAGATCAGAACTTGCTGCCTCACCTTGCACCTGTATATTATGGAGATGACTTCTTTATTTAAACCTCATGAACTGACCTCTCATAGCTTCAGCTTTTCTTCTGCAGCTTCCACAACCCCGGATAATTGAAAAGAGTCAGGGCTTTGCTCTGGATTAGGATTTCGCTTGAGGGCTGGTTTGAGTTTCTATCCAGGCCACTAAAATTTTCTTCACACGAGCAGTAGGCTGCTTTGTGTTCTCATCACTCACATTTTGACTGGAGTAGCACTTGTAACTTCAAGAACTTTTGCGTTCACAACTTGGCATAACTGGTATAAGAGGCCCAGCTTTCAGTCTTTGTTAGCTTTCAATATGCCTTCTTGCTAAGCTTAATCATTTCTGGCTTTTGCTATAAAGTAAGATGCACTACTCTCTTACTTGAGCTCTTAAGGGGCCATGGTAAAGTTATTAAGTGGCTTAATTTCAAAATTGCTGTGTCTCAGGGACTATAGAGGCCTAAAGAAAGGGGGAGATCATTATCAATTAAATTTGCCATCTTATCTGGGCGTGGTTGTAGTGCCCCAAAATAAAACAGTAACATCAAAAATCACTGGTCACAATCACCACAACAGAAATGATTATAATAATTAAAAATGTTAAAGTATTATGAAAATTACAAAAATGTGACAATGAGCAACTGCTGTTTGAGAAATGGCACCAATAGACTTGATGGACATAGGGTTGCCACAGACCTTCAACTTGTAAAAAATGCAGCATCCGTGGTGCAGAACAAAGTGTAATGAAACCAGGTATTATACCTGTACTTCTAAATTCTGATGGTCAAAAGGGAACAGGAAGATTAAAGATAAATCTGCTTCTCATTTTTAATGAATAGACTTAGTGAATTCTCGCTCAGATTTGATGAGCAGCCCTTAGGTACACTTACAGTTGAAGTAAAGTTTATCATTAACGCCCATTTTCATTCTAAATTTCATTCTAAATTCATAGGTAACAGAAGCTTTCTGTGTGTTTTGAAGAACTGCTTTCTGAAGTCCAGCTGAGCCAAGTAGGCTGATGGAGGGGACACAGAGAACACTTTACAGCAGAACTCAGAGAAGGACAGAAGCTCAGTCAGTAGGGCTCCCCAGCTCTCCCCAGAGCCTGGCCTTCTTTGGGCAAAGGCACACAGGAAAATAATACAGACAGGAGGAGAATTAGGAATTGACAAATTCAAGTAGTCTTTTACCACCAGCTATGTAACTTCTTTTAGCATTCACAATATTTGCTATTGAGGTCATGCTAAAAATCGCCTTTCCTGAAACTTTGCAAGGAGATAAGAGATATAAAACTATGAGGGAGAATTATTATTTTTATACAAGAGCTGGGGTACAGGCCAGACGCACAGGACGGTGAGAGGATTCACCAGAGACACAGCAGGGAGCAGAACAGGCAGACAACTGAAATATACTGCTGAAAGGAGCAGTGGGCACGACAGGAGAGGTGTGTGTGCCATGCGGGATTCTCGCCAGCAGGCTGGGATCGAACCTTACTGCAGAGGCAGCGGACAGCTTCACAGTGCTGTGCTCAACCCGCTGGGCCACAGGGGAGGCCCTGAGGGAGAAATATTCTTAGATTAATTTTATCTGACATTCAGGTCACATGATGTAAATTCTATTATACTGAACCTTTGACAAACACTTGTAATTTCTTAAAGTAGCTTGAAATCTGAAAATTCATTTTGTCTAGCCCCTCCAAATCTGTACCTGCTATAAAAAATCTAGATGTGACTTGCTTAGAAGCCCCCCATTATAAATTACCCAGTTGATGCATCTTAGTAGATGCTTTAACAAATGAACATATAAGAGCCACAATTCTTTCTGCAGCTTGAAGACAAGGAATTGTTTGTTTTATTTTACATAAACAACTTCAATTGTACTGATAAGGAATATGGCTTCCTGACTATTTCTTTTGCTGCTTCAGCAGAGTTTTTACTTTTGGTTGCACTGAAATATATTTTTTACACAATTTTCCTTGTAATAGAAAATCTAAAGGCTTCACAAAGAAAATTAACTGGTCATTTATACAGTTAGAAAAAAATAAAACTTAAATTTAACCTTTAACCTTGAATTTGGGTAAATATCAATTGGTTGCTAAAAAAATTCCTCTAACCTGGATTTGAGTTTTGACTGAAACCCTGGTTAAATCCCAGAATTTATTTAAGCCTTTGTTTCTTCTTCTTTAAAAACTGGGGTGCTATATTTAGCTCACAAGGATGTTGTAAAGAAATGTCAGGTAAGTTTATAAAGATCAAATGGTACTTGATGTTGTACATTAAGTCCTCATTACTCCTCCATGTTACTATGGGCCTGTCAAGTTATATGTGCATGGATATGCATTAAGATGATTTCTAGGAACCCCAGGAGCTTGCTGACTTCAAGTGAACATAACTTTGAGGTAAGCTTTTGCTTCCTTTTTTGATTCCGTCAAATAACCAATGCCCCCCACATCCCTAGTGCTGTTAATGCTGGAACACCTTTGTATGCCACTCCTGAGCTCTGGCGTCAGTCTGGGTCTATAAACCATTTCTGTCACTTACAGTTGTGACTTTAGGCAATAACAACCTCCTACATCTGTAAAACAGGCCTATATAATTAATGCCACATGGGTTCTTATATGATGCATCGCTTAGAAATGTTTTGTTAAACAACATTTTCCCCCCATAAACTTTTTTTTTTTTTTAATATTAGGATGCAATCTGCACCAAAGGAAAAAGAAAATATCCTTAGCAAGGAGGCAGAATATATGGAGATCACTCTTTAATTTATGCTAGTGCTTGAAAGGTGTCACATGCATGGGTATATTTAATGGGTTTATGTCATGGCTGCAGTTGAGGTTAACATGTAAGATACACCACTCAGTTCTTAACAACATGACTATCTGTAGACTAAGCCCTGGTTCCTCTTGACTTATCCAATAAAAAGGTAAACAGGTTGGCATACTATTCTGTAAAGATTACACATTTCTATGGTTTTCGCTGTTATTCCTTAGAATTATGTACATAAATATTGCCACAGGGTATTTACTACCTAAATTTAAGAAAAAGGAAAGTTACCACTGTCACCTTTTAATTCCTACACCATCCTTCACTTCTGAACATAAAGGGAAAAAGCATGGTCTTTAGGAGGCAGAATTATTAGTTTGATAATAAAGCATTATTGGCTAAATGTTACTAACTAACCAGCAAGTGATCAGGAACATTTAGAAGGCATCCAAATGAACTAGTTGTATAATTTTGATTTTACTTGGGAAAAAAATCCAGAAATCAGTGAAGGATTTTTGAAAAGATGCTTCCAGTGTGCACAAGTAAAAGTTCAAGGTTTTAAGTTTGAACCTTTGAGAAAGATACAGAATTAGTATCAATAATTCTAATCATACTAATGTGCCAATTAACTGTGGTAATCACAATAGTTAACAGGCTCTGATGCACATCAATGCTGCAGCTTTTATTAACATTCTCATTTCTATCTGCTTTATTGTTAACACAAAGTAATAATGGAAGTGAATGTTTAAAGTGAAGCTTGAAATGAGCCAAGAAATCTTACAATGGTACGACAAAACACAGTCAATAAACTAGCTTTTTAAATTTAACTCAGCTGTGTGTAACTTCCCTCTTCCAAACAAATCCACAGAGTTTAAAGCTGTAGGAACCAGTAATAAGTGATTCTGCACTAACATCCAGCTTGTGAGAATATCTGATGTCTCATGCAAGGCCAACTATTTATATAATACCGAAATAACATTTATATTTCCTCGTTTATGAAATTTAACTTGCGGCACACACAGCTTTACAAAAGCTCGCCACTTGTATATATTCTGCAATTTGAGGAAACCAACTGCAAACAGCCATTCTGCAATCCAAGTGCAACACCGAGTACCTTAGCAACACGCAAAACAAAGTAAAACACTCCTGGTTAGATTCAGTTGTGTCGTAAAGATAGGATTCGAGTCTAAACCTCTATTTGTGATCCTCGTTCTGGCGTTTGTTTGGTGCAAGGCTGCACCCACGCTCATCTCAGCCCTGTGTGGCTGCTGCGGCCTCACGCTCCACCTGAGCGGCACACGCTGAGGACGGTGCACTGCCCGGTGTGCGCTGGGAGCTGTGTGTCCATCCCAAGCCGAATCTGGACGCGCTCACGCTATCCAGCGTGTTCTCTTATTCCCAGAAGATCAAGCCAGGTGGAAAAGTATTCTGTAATATACTCTGCTGAACTTTAGTGTTTTCATCTTTCCTTGCTTCTCACCCTTCTCGTGGCCACTTGCTGTAATTATTTTCCACTGCTCAGCAAGTCTCTGCCGTCTGTGTTTCATTACTGAACTCATTTTTCCACTCAAGCCCTTTCTTCTCTCGGTCATTTCACATCTTACGTAGGCTAGAGTGTACCAGAAAAAAATAGATGTAGCTGTTTCTCTTTCAAGCCCAAATACTTTTTAAAATGTGGAAAAAAATCAAAGGCAACCAAAGGGCATCAAGGAAAACGTCAGTTTTCTGTTGACTACACATTATGCTTCTGGGATTAATCTTGAAATTTAAGCTTTTACATTTGACATATTTTTCAGTGCTGGCTTGCTCTTTTAGATCATGTTTTAATTCACAAATTACGAAAATGGCAAATACTTCTGGGGACGACAACAAACTTTATAAAGTGGAGGTTGGGACAGTGTTAAGCATGGTGTTCCTATAGCCAGACATGGAAACTTATGCTAAAGATTAGGTACAAAAATCCCCTGCCACTTTAAATACCATTTTGTTCCTGATAGGTAATGAAATTTTGCTGCTGAATATCCCAGAATTGAAAAGGAGTTTTACTGTTGAAATTAAAATCAACCAGGCAATATACTCAGAAACTTGGAGCAGCAACTACTACAAGTGCTGAAAATATCAAAATTGTCTCACAACTATTTCAAGTTTGAGGCCCAAATACCCATTTTTAGGGTTTCCTGTTTCTCTTCTGAACTTTCCCTCCCAAGCCTGCCTTGGTCATTTAGATAGAAAAGGAGACTTCAGTTCTACACTTTTTTAAAAAAAGATTTTTATGCATACAAGAGCTGGGGTACAGGCCAGAGGTGTGTGTGTACAGGTGGGGTGGTGGTGAGAGGATTCACCACAGACAGAGTGGGGAGCAGAACAGGCAGATGGACTGAAATACACTGCTGAGGGGAGCTGCGGGCGAGTCAGGAGAGGTCTGCTGTGCCATGTGGGTAGCTCCCTGGCCGGGGATTGAACTTGTGTTGCAGTGACTGCGGACAGCTTCATAGGTTGCATCTTAACCCCCTGTGCCACCAGGGAGACCCTACACTCTTTAATTAAAATATTTGGTGGAGCTAACCCTGAGAGACAGGTGGAATTGTAGGTGATAAGAACTGCTTAGGTTCCTGTCTCCTGAGGTTCTTTGAATCTCTCCTTCCCACTGAGATGTCAGCTGTCATGTTACTGTTGGCTGCATCACAGGGGATGGGATATTCTGTTAGAAGGGCTAGGCTTTCAGCTACCTGATGTTTCCTTTCAAAGGCAAAGAACCAGAGGGGCTTAACCAAGATTTGATAAAGCGCGAGAATTCACTGGTGCTGGCATGAAGGCAGCGGCCACTCTGCATGTGCTGGGGGCAGCTCCCCAAGCTGGATGTGTGGAGTGTGCCTTCCTCACAATTCCCCCACCCAAGCCCACAGCTGTGGCACAGCCACACTCTTCCCATGAGAATGGGAAAAAGGAAAAGCCAGGAAGTCAGAAAACCACCCACCAGCAACATGCTGGGCACAAATTCCATCCCAAACTGACTTGCTTACTCTCCTACAGTATTGTGGGAGCAGCATACCTAAAAGCAGACTGATCCTTTCATATTCTGATCCACAGGCTTCTGCCAGCTCTTGGGCTATGTTCTAAGACAGGGTGTTGGTGGTACAATGGGTTAAGACACAACCTATGAAGCTGTCCGCAGCCTCTGCAGCACAAGTTCAATCCCTGGCCAGGGAGCTACCCACAAGGCACAGCAGACCTCTCCTGTCTCCCCGCTGCTCCCCTTAGCAGTGTATTTCAGTCAGTCTGCCTGTTCTGTTCCCCTATCTGTCTCTGGTAAATCCTCTCACCCCCACACCTCTGGCCTGTAACCCAGCTCTTGTATGCATAAATATATAAACCTTAAAAAAAAATAATGACAATAACTAGCATTTATTGAGAGCATATTTACTATGTGCCAGGTAAACTGAAAGCTTTATAGGCATTATTTAAATCCACATTATTTTCATTTCATAGAAGAAACAGGCACAGGGAGGTTAAGTAACTTGTAAAAGTCCCATAGATCTAGCGGCAGAGCTAGAACTCCAACTCAATTCTTACTGATGCCACAGTTCTTAACCCCTGAACTACACCACGGAGGCTTTTTAGTGTCAGCAAGATTGCGCTATTCTGTTCTTTGTTGTTCTACAAAATTGCTTACTCCAATAACAGTTTAAAACATTTGCTAGGAAAAATGCCCTGAAATTAATAGCAGGACCCCAGTACAAGCAAGTGGTTAAGGAACATAGTTATATCTATCTCTGTACTATATCCCAGCCTTAGTGTAAAGAGGAATAAAAGGCCCAACATGAAGAAAAGTTTGGGATTTCGTAATAATTTTCCACCTTATTAATAGGTGGTAAACTAAAAACACAGTAAGGGGAAAAAAGCAACCATATCTGTTCTCTTAAACACATCAAACACAAATACAAATAGTATTAACATGTAACTTTTTAGAAAAGGTTGTGATTTTGCTATTTTTCAGGGTGACTGCTATGTATGTATTCACTGACCAGAAAAATCAGAACCTCAAGATGGTGCATTAAAATGGAAACGTATGCTGACAGTGAAGAGGTTGCTGTGCGCTCACTTGTGGATAATTTGACTGTTCTAATTTAATATTACTGCAGAAATATAGCTATGAGTGTAACATTAAGATAGGATAAATATTGTACAAACTTTTAGAAGTTTATAAACCTTGCTAGAATTGTTTATCTTCTAACACTTAATGTTGCCTTCAAAAGAAATAATGAAATAAGGAATTTGATATAAGATATAAAAGATGACTTCTGGACAATCATCATTTAGTTATATAATAAAATTGTTAATTTTAGCTTTTTAAAAGAATGTTATTTACTTGCCTTTTCCAGACTTGGTAACATTCACCTGTCACACACTGAGTTCTTAGGGTTAAAAAAAAAAATCACTTCTTAAGTTTTGTGTCCTCCATACCCAGCATAGTATGTAAATTATATACAAGATTATAAAGTCCTCTTTTGACTTTTTCTACTACAGCATGAGTATGCCACTCACTATCCTTTCCTCCTTTTTTGCCTTCAAAAAGCTTAATCCTATCTGAAATTATTTATGTATTTGTTTGCTGGCTTATTTTCTATCCAGGATTAGTCCTTATCCACCACTGCAGCCTGATCACCCCTTAAAATCTGTACACGAAGCCCTCAATACTATTTGTGAAGAAAGTGCACCTCTGCACCAGAAAGTATTCTTGCACAAAATATCTGATGGAATTAATATATACTCACGAAACAAAGAATTTCTCTCTCCTCTGAAACCAGGTGGTTGTAGAATTTGGAAAGAGAGTTTCATGCCAAAGGGGTATGACCTACCTTTTAATGAAATGGTTCCTCTGTCTAAATAATTGCCTATAAGCACTAAACTCTAGATCTGAGCCCAGATCTATATCCTTCCTTACCTGAGGGTTTGCAGCCATAATTGTGTAATTCCCATCATCATCTAGGGTAGAGGCCGAGGCATGGAGAGAGCAGGTCCCATCAAGATCTTTTTGAATGATGTAGTGATCATTCTTTGGAGAGATCTGTTTCCCATCCTTAAACCAATAGATCTGTGAACGGAAACACATTAAAGATTAAGAGTGGGTGCAGTCCTACTCTATCTGGGGACTGATAAATAACACCGGTGTGATCTGCACAGCTGGTCAGAGATTTCATGTTAAAAAAAAAAATACCAGAATGGGAAATTGTTTTTTGAGTGAAAAAGTAGGCAACAAGTTTAATTCTATTTTAATTTTAAAAATATATGTATGAGTAGACATTTACATTCATATGCTATTTATATAAAGGGCTATTTATATGAAGGGCTCTATATCAAAAGTTGATAGTGACTTTTTCTGAGGTAACATTACAGGCATTTTTCTTTTTGCTTTTTTCAACTTTCAAATGTACTGATACTTCACATATACTACTTGTACAGTGAAGTTTAAAAGGTTGTCTTAGAGAATAAAAACAAACTCCAAACTGTCATTATTCCGGGGCCTCCCCGGTGGCGCAGCGGTTGAGCCCTGGGTTGCGAAGCTGCCCGCAGCCTTTGCAGCTCAGGTTTGATCCCCGGCTGCTCCCCGCCCACCGGAGGAGGGTCCCACATGGCACGCAGACTTCTCCTGCCACCCGCTGCTCCCCTCAACAGTGTGCTTCGGTCCTTCTGCCTGCTCTGCTCCCCGCTCTGGCCCTGGTGAATTCTCTCACCCTCCGGTGCTTCTGACTGTGCCCAGTGCTTGTATAAATAAATAAATCAATCTTTAAAAAAACCAAAAAACCAAAAAAACCCCTGTCATTATTCCGCTGAAATATATTAGACAAGTAGAACAGAGTGGCGATTACTGGGGCATTGGTGGTGGGCATGGTGTGGAAATTCAATTGTAGAAGCTTAAAAGCTTAAACTTACAATCCCCAAAGATACAATGACGTAAACCAACTACCTCAATAAACATAATTTGAAAAAGAAAAACTGAACTAGAAATAGAATGTATTTTTTTAAAACACAGGGAATATTCCAAGCTGTAATCATCCTAACATAATTTATGTAACATACAGAAGAAATTATTCTTCAGTAGACCAGGGAGAGAAGAAAAAGTATGGCAGTGAGGAAAGGAGGAAGGATGAAAGAATAAAACCTCATAATAAAAATATCTAAAAATAAACTGAGCCTCTTGAGCTGTGAAACAATTAAATTTGCCCTAGAAAAAGCAGAGTTATGTTAAAGACAACAGCCCATCTTTGAAGTGAACAGTGTTCTTTAGGAACAGGAATCGTTTCGCAAATCTTGACTCATGTTTAAACATCTGGGTATCCCTGTGGCTATTTTGGAGTTCAATATATAATTTCCTGAGTGTCATTCATAAGCTGCAAAGTTATTTGTAATACATTGGATGTCATCTTTGTGAATACACAACAGTTACCCGAGTGATGCCAAGAATAGGACAAGGAAGTTGTCTCTAACAATTTAAAGTCTCATTAGTGGATTTGGGTTTGAGAATTTAAGGCTCATTTCTTTGCCCTGTCCTTCTGGCTATGGGTTGAAATTTGGTTTTAGGGAAAGAAGGTGATGGTAAAATTTACCTTACGGTGAGAACAAAACAACGCGTGCAGCAACGGCATGGCCAAGTGCACGTCTGCTGTGTCATCATAGCACTTACCCCTCCAGCTCCTGCTTCTCATTTCTGCTCTTTCACACCACTGCTAAGCTTGTAATTTCAGTGACTGCTTTTTTTATTTCTATGTGCTGATTTTACAAACTTGTGTTGCCGGGTGCTGTCCTGTTCTTTAAGTTTCTATTCCCTTTACAACGGTTCCAATCATTTCAAACACGTCTCCTTGAAAATACTGTGCAATACTTGGGCTTCTATTTTCCTGTCTTTTTGTGCTATTGACTCCCCTCGTTGTTTATTTCCTCATATGGTTTGTAAGTTTTTACTGTGACCTCACATTTCCTCACTCTACCCTGAGAAGTCTGATACACCCCACAGTGTGAAGATGTCCCACAGGGCCGTGTTTTGCTTTCTGCCAGAACACTAAGCATTTAATCATCCTGCATGAAATTTCGCATTAATTTTTCAGCTCTTGACTTCCTATTGCATGATAATGTAAATCTGGAGTTCCAGTTCCTCGTGGGGGTGTGCCTTTTTCATTTTGCCCTCTCTATTCTAGGGAAAGTGCAATCCTGTTTATTATTTTGCTGGGCTAGGGAGCAGTCATTCTAGTCTCCCTTTAAAAACAGGGCAACACTTTATCTAGCATTTCCACATGTCTGCAGGGAAAGGGCTGCCAGCCAGGTCGGCCTAGGGCTCCTGCATATGAGAAGTTTCTTTGATTATCCTCTTTTAAAAGTATTCCTCTCCCCCCACCCCTTGTAAATATAGGAAGTCTTGGCTTTATAGATTAAAGATCTGAAGGCTTATTATCAGTGGTAGGCATTCCTTCTCTGTGTGGTACAGAACATAGGGTACATGGTCAAGCCTGGCCACCTACCAGCTTTCTGACCTTCAGAAAATTCATTGACCTCACCGAGCTCATTTTAGTCATTTATAATTTGGGAGCAACAATGGCAATATCAGGAGTAAATGATGTAGGTGTAGGAAGCATTCCTTGTTAATTATTTCGTTATTATTATTCTACTCTACTCTTCAAACCCAAACTCTGCTGCTCTTCTACCTTGCTTTGTTTTCTAATGCCTCCTGAAGATGGCCCTGAACTTAAGAGTGTTTCAAACATTTTACATGATGGGTATTGAGAAAGTTTGTATTTCTTCCTCCTCCCAGACACAGAATGCTATATTTTGGAAGCTAAAACTCTTCTTCAGAGAGTATGACTCTTAAAAAGCCATTGTTTTCAGCTCACCTTTGGCCTTGGATTCCCAGTCACTCTGCACATGAAGGTTACAGGCATTCCCTCAAAGATCTTGTAATGTTTCAGCTTCATCTCAAAGACAGGTGCCATGCCATTTTCCACTGGCACATCTCCATATTGAACTTCATCACCTGACTCATCCACAGGAGACCTCTCTAGTCTGTACTCGATTTCACTGATGAGTCTCTGTTCACAACTGGAGACTTTGTATTCCTAGTCAAACAAAGAGGTCATGTTAGCTACCATGTCCCTTGTGCAGTATGTCCCATGAGTCTAAACCCCCCTTTCTAAGATGACACTCAAAAGACATTTATCATAGCACTTGAAAACTGAACCCAGTTCAATTCCATGGAAAACAAAAAACATCTGGAAATAAGTACATGTGATATTTCAAATTGTCTGCAAGTTTTATCATCCAAATAAGAAGGAAACTTTAGAGATGAATTTCTTTCTCTTTCCTCTTGGGCCAGAGTTGGGGGGAAGAAAGAGAAAGAGAAACACAAAGACAATACATTCCTAACTGTTGCAGGACAGGACACTGATTTCTTTGGGTAAAAGCTGATGCAGGTGGCGCATCTCTCCAGAAGGGTGAAAGTGCATGTGGCAAGCAGTTGTAATATTGCAGAGCATCCATTAAACAGACAATGGGAAAAAATGGCACTATGTATTTTTTTTTTAATCATAACAATCATCAGCAAATAGCCTCTGAAGTCCTCCTTAGATCTGCAGCTATTAGGAACTATTCTCCACCCTCTTCAAAAGAAAAACAGGATTGACAATAATTTTGGCTATTAAAAAAAAAAAAAAACAAAGAAACTGCCACCATCCTATGGTGATGGTGGGTCCTATATTTTTTTCTCTTGCTTACAAAATACAATGAAGGCAAGGCAACACATTATAAAGTATTATATTAAATAAAATAATGTTTTAATTAGTTCTTAAAGAACTCATTCAACATTGAAAAAAAAACCAGTTTATTGGTTTGAGGAAAGAAATATTATGTATGAACAAAACTGCAAAAAGTACCCAAGTGCTTTTGTGTACTATCAAATTAACCAGTGTAAGAATTAGCACATTTGCCCCTGAAAGGTATAACAAGTGAAAAATAAATTATAAGAAAAGCCACACTGGTGTAATTTTATTCACTTGATCTTAAATGAACGCAGACACTGGTCACAGTATTTACTATATGGCAGTAAAGATAGAGCTACAAGTAAAAAACCCAAAAGAATATAGATAGAGATATAGTGAAAGATTGGAAAGAGAAGAAAGGCGAAAAGCTTAACCTTTTGACCATCCTGAGGACTCCCTACAGTAGCATGGGAAGACCCAATTTCCTGTAATGGTAGAAAAAAAGAAGTGAAGACTAATATAGAATAATAAGAATCTAGCAAGATTTTTAGTTTTCTTAAAGTGAAATTTTTGTGGTAGCATTATTTTAACACAGAAAAACTTTCAGATTTTGAAGGCAGATCCATTTCTCAATAAACAATGAAAAAGAGTTTACTTGATCCTTTAAACTGGCTTTAGAAAAGTTTCTTCTATCCTGAGGTTGCATCTGAATCTCCAAACAGAAGCAGTGGAGATTATAAAACACTGTACATCAAAGCCACAAAGTAGTATAGAAGGGGAACAAAAACAACATTTTAGGTTTTCTGCTGATAGGTGATTTATAACTAAATATGTGGAGGAAAATACAGTTTTTTCTATGCATAGATATTTTGACTAGACATTAAAAATTTAATGGGAAATAGTCACTCTTTGAAGCAATTTCAATAAAAATATGTACAAAACTACTCTGCAGTAAAGCACAGGATAGGAAAAACAGCAAGATACTTGACAGGAGAAAACATGATCACTAGAGAAGATAAAAAGAACAGGTATCACTGACAGAAACAATCCTTCCAATCACCTAACACAACATCTGGCACAGTATGTGCTCAATAAATATTACGCATGGGGCTTATTGATGCTGTTAGCACTTCTTTTCTTTGTCTGCCCTCTACTTTCCACAGAAATGATCCCAAGAATAGCGTCCACAATGAGTACAGGGAGAGGAAACAAGTAATTGCTATTTTTCTAAGAGATCCAGAGAAACATAGTACCTGATGAGCTGCTTCCTCTTCTGGCTCCTGAATATTAAAAACAGTTGCACTGTCAGCACCTAGTAATCGGCGAGCCATTCTTTCTTCATATGTTAACCTCTAATCAAAGTAAATCACAGAAAACACAAAATTAGAAAAGTCACAATTATTTGAGCCTCATGGAAAGGGATTTTTTAAAAAGCCCAACACAAGCTAGCTTTCATGGTTTCTGTAACTGTCCTGGCTCCACCTTCCGATACCTGTATGTAAAAGGAGTCTGTTTTTTGCTTCAGCTGTCTAGTCTTTCATCTCCCCTTTGGGTCCCAGTGACCTATTCCAGAGTTGGAAGATGGGGTAATTAATCTTGGCAGCCACCAACTGATGCAGCATAAATTAAATAAGCAGCAAGGAAGAAGCCACATAGAAATACATGTCATATACTCGCCATTAGCAGCAAATACAGAGAAAAAGATACTTAAATAGCAAAATATATTTTTAAAGGAAATGTTATTTTCATAGCCATCCACAGGCTTCCAGACAGGCTAGTCAGTTCTGAGACTCCTGATAGGGAGGTGACACGCTGGCAGTGATGGCTTCTCTGCTTTAGGATACTCATCTCTAAGAGCATATCCGAGCTGCTCTGTAACATCGGTGACTGTAGGCAAATCCAGTAAGCAGCAGAGGAGTGCACATGGCTAAAGTGGCACAAGGACTCCAAAGGTTGGCTAAAGCCAACATCCATAATTTATGATTCTACTCAGAGGCCATTTTTGCCAATTCAGTTTTTTTTAAAGATTTATTTATGCATACAAGAACTGGGGTATAGGCCAGAGGTGTGGGGGGTGAGAGAATTCACCAGAGACAGAGTGGGGAGCAGAACAGGCAGAGCCACTGAAATACACTGCTGAGGGGAGCAGTGGGCGAGACAGGAGAGGTCTGCACCATGTGGGTCACCTCCCTGGCCGGGGATCAAACCCATGCTGCAGTGGCTGTGAATAGCTTCATAGGTTGTGTCTTAACCCTTGAGCCACCAGGGAGGCCCTGCCAAGTCATTTTTATAAAAAAGAAATGCCAGTAAATTTCTTTGTTCTGTTGGAGTGACTTGGGTTCTTAGTATTGGTTCTTAAATGCCATATAGTTATAGGTCTAGAGAAACTTTCAGAGACCATTTGTCCCACCAGGGGTGTTTTAAAAACAAACGTTTGATTCAAAATAGAGAAAAAGTAAGGCAGAATCTAGGAGAAGTACAAATAATTTAAAATAAATTTCCAAAATTCTGAATATAGATGCAAATTCTGTTGGTTGGAAACTCCACAATCAGGAAAGTATGTTGGTAAAATTATCATTTCCAGTAACTTCTGGCTCTGTCTCAGCTGAAATGTGGAAATGAAACAAGCCAAGTGCCCAATGCCAGACAGTCCCAAAGTTCAAATTATTTCATTAATAAAGAAGGGGCAGAGGCCAGAAAGAGGTACAGGTAGGTGTTTGGGGCCTGGAATGTCTCAGTCTATTGTGTTATTATTTAATTTTCAGTGTCTGTTAAAAAAATCAGTGAATTCAATTTCAAAGAGACTTTTAAATACCTGCTCTCTTAAAAGCTTTCCTCATATTTTTACAGAGAACTGTATTAACATCAAAGGGAGGTCTAGAGTAATTTCCTCTTTGTTCCTTATAAACAGAACTGCCGATTTGACATCTGTCCCTCACCAGAATGCACCTGCTACCTTCAGGAGTCAAATTTTAGTCATAGTTTTGTTTCTAACCCACTGTGCCATGTGGATATACCAGCCCTGTCTCAGAAGTCAAAATCAAGCAATAGAAAAATATCTAACATTAGGAAAAAGTTGAGGGTCCCTTTTTCTAAAAAGAAACCTTATCTTTCTAAACTTTCTGATGTCAGAATCCATGGAATTTATTGTGTATGTCACTGACTTCTAAACAGATAAATATACTGTATGTATTTGTAAAATGCATATACATAATATAGTACATAATTTATAGAAGTCTTTTTTTTTTTTTAACCAAGAGTATCTTAGTCCATAGGAATATTTAAACAACCAACCAAAAAGAAAAAAAAAAAAAAAAACAACCAAAAAACTGGAGTGATGCCTTTACCTGGCTTGAAAAAGTTCCCATAAATATTTGTTTTAATATTTCAAAGGCTTTGGCTGACAGATCCAGGGAAAACTTCCAGAGTATGTATATTTACACATGCAATCACTTATTTTAGGGAGAAAATATTTTCCCTATGTGAAAAATCTATCCTTAGTGAAATGAATAACTACTACAGGAGCTTATTAGAATTTTAATCTTCCTAAACTCAGGTTAGAATACCCTAATAATTAAAATCAGCATCAGTACTCTGTTCCTCACCTTTCCAATCAAACATGGTCTGTTCTTGCATTTTTATTTAGTAATACTTGGTAATTAAAACTCCTTGAAAACATAATTAATAGAGAACTTTCTACTCTGAAAAAGGTGTCTAAGAGCAACATTTTATACAAAGAGATACTTTTCCTTGTGTACTTTAAGAGCAAAGCAAATTTTTCTAATAGTAATTCATACAGAGGCACAAAAGGTCCTTTCCTTTACCTGGGAAATCTTATTTGCTGGATTTACTTTTCCCATTTCCTTAAAATACTCTGAGTATGATCAGAAAATACATATATATATATTTACTCTATAATTCTGCAGATTTTTTTTTTGAGTCTTTCCTGACAAACTAGAACAAGACTGTGGAACAGATATTACTGGATGAGATCACTCAGTCAACATCTAGTAAGTGTCTCACAGAGTAGGGCCACGCCAGCAATAGTTTCCTTTGTAAAGAAACTTTTCCGCAGAAGCAGTACCTGCCATAGAACCTCTCTTTCTGGCACTGAACTCCAAGTTGGCTCTCGGGCAGGTACAAATCATCCTAGAACACACTTTTCTCGCCCCCAACTCCCACCCAGTGGGGATGGGAACCCCAAGGTCCTTTTTCTTTATAACACACAATTACTCATTTGTTCTACTCCCAGCCTTAAGATCAGCCTTTTCTCCTTCCTTTATCCAACTAGCTGTCTTTATTCCAAGAACAACTTTGTGAATACACGAAGCAGTGAACACGGAGTAGAAACCATTTCATTTTCTCCCTTTTTTCTAGATTGAAGCCAGATGTGGAGATTCAGGGGTAATAAAATCAATTTTGTGGGCAAATCTTAAGGACCCCTGTCTCAGTGGAGCGAGGGAAGTGTGCGATGCGGGTGGCTAATGCTCCAAGTTCGGGCCCCACGTCTGTCTGTCAGTACCGGCTGGCCATTGTTCAGGAGATCCTCCTTGAAGCGGAGTTTTCTTTCCAGGTCTTGAATGACAGCATCTTTTGTGCCTTGAATCTCCTCATCAGAGGCTATCCTGGCAGTTCTATTGGTCTTCTTTGGAAATCCCCTGCAGCACGAAAGCACAAAGTGGAATAGTCAGTTGTCGGACATAAAAGCAAATCAGACATTCAAGTCCAAGAGGGAGTACAACGGGCCAGTGTGTCCCTCCCACGCTATGCTGCATCTTTCCAGCCACCTCTGGGAAGAACCAGTGGAAGCTGGTTTCAGTGTTCAGGTAATCCTGATCCCAACCAGATTTCAGAAGCAGTTTACTAAATACCTTTGGGGGTGTGCCTCAGTGGTGAGATAAATGCGAGGATAGTGAAGGCCTGTGTTTCTGTCCTTGGTGGGCAAAAGTGTACAATGAAAACATGGTGTGATTTGGTATCAGACCTAGGGCTCTGCCTTCTACTAGATTTGTGATTTTTGGGCAAGTTTCTTAGCTTTTCTTATAGCCAGGTATGAAAATATATACCACATAGGACTTTTGAGAAGATTTGAAAGAGAACATATTTCTTTCATGCTGGTATTCGGTCCTTCTGATTCTTTGTAATGAATTTATTCAATAGTGCCTAGCCCATTTTAAGTGAAATAATGTTTGTTACGCACTCTTCAAATGCCCTTCCTACCTCATTTGATGGGTAGGCCAATGTTACCTAATTTAAGGACTATTTTATACTACAGCAACGTGGCAGGTCTTGCAGGCCCTGCTATGCCTGGTGTTGCCTAAGCCTCCAGGAGGCTTACTCTTGGATGGCCTAGAGCTTTTAAGACAAATGAACATTTCAGAAGCTTTCCTTCCAAGGGCAGCAATAGCCATGGGAATCAGGGGTCACTGGAGCTGGATGCTTAAGTGGGTGTGAAATCACTTTTGGTGGGGACCTTAAGTCATTTGTTTCCTAATCTCTTCCTTTTCCTTTAAGGAGATTAATAAGAATAGAATACTAGAAAATGGCAAGAATGAATGACCCTAAAGCAACCCTGGTCACCAACGTTAAATTTCTACAATGTAATGCCAATTTAAAAAAAAAAAAAAAGCAAGTCACAGAATACAGATACTGTGCTTGCATTTATAAAGAGGCAAGTGCTATGCAGTCTACCACCAGCTCCCTGGTTCTCAAAGGGTGGTCCCTGAAATAGCAGTGTCAGCATCATCTGAGAAGTTGCTATAAATACAGATTTTTTTTCCCCTCTCCATCCAGACCTATTGGACCAGTAAGTCTGGGTATGGTCCAGCAGCCTGTGCTTGGACATCCCCTCCAGATGAGTCTGATACATATGAAGGTTTAACAGACTAACTAGAGGGAAACATACACATATAAGTTAAAAAGAGAAGAGCGAAAGGGCGCCTGAGGCTTGTGCACTCGTCTTCCCGGCAGCCTCTTCCCGCCTGCCCATCCCTTTTCTGCTGCTGAACAGTCCCTGATTTTGTTGGGTGTTTGACCTTCCATGTGCCTGAAAACATGACTGATCGAAGTCCAATTTCAGTTGTCTCCATCCTGGGATTGTGGTTTAGCCAGAGGCTGGTGACGCAGCCCTGGCCAGCGAGGCTGGGGAACGGAGGTGGCAGTGGGAGGGGGAGGCGTGCCAGTTAAAAATTCCTCGTCAATTAAAAAAAAGGAAAAAAATCTTCATTCACGGACTACCACCCTGTTAAAAATTTTATGCAAAAACTGCTGCAACTACTGCATGACTGGGAGGGAAGGACCCACACAGCCAGGGCCGAAGCTGGGACAGACAGACCCTGGATCCTAATTACGTTTCTGGGACACCGTGTTAACTGGCCATGGAACCATATGGAAGTCAAGAAACCTCCTGCCTTTCACCTGGCGGTAGTCGAGTCTTCTACTGATGGTGGAAAAACCCTAATTGGTGGCTTTTGCAGGCCTTTTTCTTTCTGGTTATTTGCCCCGAGGTTCAAATACTATGATATTAGACACTGACATTAAGAAAAGTAAAATATTGTGATAAACCGTGTCTATAATATCAAAGAAGTAGTTAATCAGGTTTCAAGTTGTCTCCTCACTGGGAACTTACGTTTTTAGGGATCTGGGCAATGGACCTGACACTTAGTAATAGCAAGAGCCATAGGAATTTGATTTATAACCTCAATCTTTCTGCATCCAGTTCTTCAATATAGGCAGAGCTTGTCAGCCCTTGTAAACCTGGAGGCTCTCTGCCTTGCTTTTTTTCTTGGGGGTCATGTCATCGGCCTTGAAGCTTTAGTTATCTCCTCAGAAAGGACAACACTGACTAACTCTCCCCCATTCACTGTCATACCATGTTTGTCTCTTCCTGGCACTCATCACACTTCATTACTGTATGTTCTCCTTGTCTCTCCCTCACCCGGATTCTTGTCATCAGGATGGCCATCGGACAGCAGACCCCCAGATGACACTTCACTCATGGAGTGAGTGAAGGCATGCGCTGGCCACTCCACGCCCACATCTGGCCTTTCCCTACCTTTCACCTGTCAGACTGGGAAATCTGTGCCCGAGCCACTGGACATCAAATACATGTCAAGAGCCAGGCTTAGAGCAAGTACAAGTTACACAACTTCTATGGGGCTTGGCTAGAAACAAAGTTTCTAGCCTGTGTAAGAAACAAAGTTCTATGTTACTTTTAACTAGAGCCGGGAAACGAGAAGAATTAACTTTTGACATCACCCGAAAGGTAAATTTGAAGACAGCTGGTTCTCTGTGAGGTCAGATTCTGGGAACACATGGCTTCCCTTTATTACTTTCAACCTGACACATAAACCGGTTGCACGACTATGTGCTCACGAGCAGCCTTTGGCTTCAGAGGGCTTCGCTGTTTGTGCAGGCAGATCACCCCGAGAGCGGTGCTCTCTGCGCACAGAAGGGCGGGGGCAAAAGGGCAGCTCTCCGGCTCACCTAGAGGAGCACAGGCTGTCTGCAGCAAGAACACACGCGCCTAGTCAGCACAGAGTAAGTCCTGTTGCTCACAACGCGCTGCCTGGCATCCTCGACCTCTGCAGGGGACCTTGGGAAAACTGCTCTGGGACATTTCACAGAGAGGCTGCTCACCTCGGTGTGAGTTCCTGCCACCCGGTATTTTACTGTCTCAGGGAGTACAGTAAAGTAACTCTTGCCCTTTCAATACAATAAAAGCCTTATCATTCTATAGTTCTTCTAACAAGCCACTCCCCTCAACACATCAAATCACCGGCAGCTGAAGGGCATTTATGCCATTCTGGATTCCCCCTTTCTTGAAGCCACTCTTTACTTACGGAACTTGAGGTGCGCATATTTTCTTAGTTCTGAAGCCCTAACACTGAAATAAAAATCAACTGAAAGATATGTCTAATAGTCATTTCACAAATACTTATGGGACATCTAGCAAGGCCCAGTGCTGGGCAAAAAGATCAGTAAGTTCTGTTAAGCCTGGAACCCAAGAGTTGGTTTGCAAGGTAAGTGACTATTACCTGATGACATCTTGGAATTCTATGTATTACAAATTTAATGCATGAAAGTGAGGGGGGGGGACCCCAAATGAGAGTGTCATCACTATAGTTTCAACTCTAGCCTGTGGGATACAGAGAGGATAGCCAAGTCCCAAAGGGGGGCCCTTGATCACAAGAGGTTACTTAACAATAAACTTTGCGGGGGGGGGGGTAGTTAAGGAGCAAAGTAGGTGATTGTAATTCTAGGTACAATGGGGGTGCAAGAGAAACAGGAAAGGACGCTGGTGAGAATGACTGCAGAACACTCCAGAAAAGAGATGTCGAAGGTGTTGATGGAAGGAGAAGGACAGCCGGGGAGGGGGAGAGGAAGGGTCTCGGCGTGCATGTGGGGTCTGGGTGAGTCGCCTGCACGCTATCTGCTTCGTTTCCCTCCTCTGTAAGGTGCAGAGTGTGAGGACGAGCAGCAGGCGCCTCGCGGATGACTGGGCAACAGCATGAACTACTGTACGCGAAGCACCTAGGCCGGTGCCCGGCAGGAAGGGTGCTCCCTGGGGGGCCGCAGACACCGTCTTCATGGAAGGGAGTCGCGAAGGGCGATGGAAAAGACGAGACTGGCCGAGGGCAACGAATGGAAGAGGCGAAGGCGTGAGGGAATATGCCCCCATTCTAGGCCGAGGGTCTACGGATGTACAGCTACACCCCACGGAGCCGCTCCCGTGCTCAGCTCTGGGTGGGCGCCGGGAATGCGACGGTGAAGAGAAAACTAAGTCACTGTTTGCAAAAATTATACCCGGTCATGGGGGTGGCAGGGAGGGGGGAAGGCTGGAGCGCTGGGACGGGCCAGGCGCGTGAGCAGGAGTGTGGGCGACCACAGGGCTGAAGACCCCCGGAGAGCTGGGCAGGGCGGTGATTGCGACCCCCCAGGAAAGAAGTCCGGGGCACAGTCCTTTGCACGCTTCTTTCCTCAGGGCAACTCTCCCTGTGCTCAGATGATCTCGCTTGGACTAGCGTGACTCAGGAAATGCTCTAAGAAACTGTGTTTCAAACCGTGCTTGGAGCTGAGGCCGACTGTTCAAGGTTAGGGCTACACACCAAACTGGGGTATCTGGACAACGAAGGCAGCGGGAAAGAAAAAGCAGGGAGTTATAACTCGTGGAGGCAAAGTTTTGGCAACTTGTTTTCCTAAAAAAAAAAAAAATGAATTCTCTGTTTGAGCTTGATGTCAAGTGGCTGTGGTTTGCTCACGCAGATGGCACCACTTTTGATGAATTAGAATAAAGAAGGGCAACAACTCGTCAGGTAATAATGTCTGGTAGCAGATCATCTTTCCTCTTGGTTTGTATAGTTAGAAAATAAAACCTGTACTCAAAGTAAACTGTTGCTAACATCAGCACTCTTCAGAGAAAGCGGCTCAGGGGCAACCGGTGCTAGTAAACAACTCACGCCAGGCCTCCCACACGCGCTGCCTCAGCGTTGCACACGTGGCCCAAACAGTGCAAAACACGTCACTGCTCTGCTTATTCTGGCTTCAACAACATGTCACCGTTTTCAAATAATATTCACGTGGCTGCAGATAAAAACATCTCCAACATATACACCAGCATCTGGAAGGTAAAATCTTCCAGATTCAACCACCACCAAAT